TATTCATTATGAAGGCACTTAATGCTTATGAGTTTGAGCATCATAGATTTGTCAGATAGTTCAGGAGTTAATAAGTACCTCAGTGAGTATGCTATTTGATGCCATTCTTAATGTAACTGGGTCGCCTGTTAACCATAAAGCTTTCCGCACTTGGAAAGGTAACGCATTTTACTCTAACTCAAAGTTAACTCATTGTTTATGGTTTTTCTTATTTTATTATTATGAATTTGTCTCCTCTCATTGTAATAGAATCATTTCAAGCTGCAACTCGCGAGCTTCAGCGTATTTATGGGTAAGAAGAGCTCAATCTATGAGAATATTTTTGGAAGGGCGAGCTGATATAGATTTGTCTAGGATGGTATCGTGACTTTCATGTGCCGGGCAAAACTAGAATCTGGTAAGTTGTGTATGGATCACCAGTGTCCGATTCTTGTTAATTTGAAGGATCTAAAGCACAGTAATACTCTTGATTATTTTTTGTTTTGTTTTGTTTTTTTTTTTTTGTCCATTGCAAATGGAGCTGGAAGAGTCATTGTTGACAATTCTCCTGGCATAGTGCTAATGATGGACTAGATCAAAATGGCTCAATTAAATTCTAGTGCTTCTTTTCTATTAGTGAAGTTTCTAGAAAAAAAAATTTATCAAACGGCGCAATGCACCTTGGGTCGCTACGAAAACAGCCTCCTTGTATAATTACAAGGGTAAGGTCTGCGTACAACTGACCCCCCAGACCCCAACCTGTTGGGAATATACTGAGTATGTTGTTGTTGTTGTTGTTGTTGTTATTGTGTGCAAATTTCAACTCAGTTATTGTATAGAACATAATCAGTATTCTTGAATTATAAATCACCAGTATTAAGAAAATCCATTAGACCATTGGAGGGACACTAGTTGTAGCAAGAAAGAAAACAAGGGAAAAGTGAAAGTTATTGTGAATTATATGTCAAACAGACACTAACACCAGTGAGACTGATAAGTAAATCAGCAAAACCTTGGCCTTCTCCCTGCTTAATCTCTGGTCTCTAATCTAATGTGTCAAATCCGACCAACGTATAGAAGAAAAGTTGCAGATGAGGTTATGGAGTTTTTAATTTTTTGATACTTGATCATCAACACACTTTTGTTTTGTCGTTTTTCTTATATTAAAACACAACTAGTACAACACCCATGTATTACATGGGTGGGGACAATGTTTCATCCCGGACCGTTCATAAACTGATTCATAAAAGTGAGATCGGTATCCGGACAAGTCAAATTCAGGACCGTCCCGAACCGCGCCCACTCATATAATAAATAATCAACATATTATAGATAATCCGAACCTAATAACGAAGCATGTAATTTTGCCACATAGGATCCCGAAGCATGCGAGTCTACCACATAGGTTAAGCGCGTTCTGAATTAATATATAAGAGGGGATACTTTCTGAATATTTTTTATTTATAAGGAAAAAATAAAGAAAAGGGAAAAATGAAATCGTGAAATTAATATAGAAGTTCACTTGATTGACACGGCTAGTTTTAAAAACGTTCGTTTAGGGTTTGAATTGTGTAACCCAATTTTCAGTCTCTAATTTTTGTTTTTAAAAAGAGAATCGTTCCAACAACAAAATGAGAAGTTATTGTTGATTCATCATTTTTTTGAGCTACTATAAACTTTTACGTGAGATATGACTGCACAAACTAGAATTAAAAAATGTAAATATATCAATAATATCAACAAACATCCAAATCAAAGAGTCAAAAGGGCAATGGGTGGGAGATATTGCTACAAAGCTCATGAAGTCTCGTCAAAACAATACGAAGATCGAACTTCAAAACAAGGATGCAAGAAGAATTGAATAGCCAAAAAGGGACAATTTCTAGAGAGAAATTTGTTTGGGGGAGTCGGAAATTTCCATACCACTTTCCACTAAACCGTATTGGCTATGCTTCGATATAAATCAAACATGTTTGTGTATAGAAATTTTTTGTTTTGTTTGGATTTTTTGGTTTTGTTTGGTTAATTTTGAAAAATGTGGTATTGTTAGTTGTTGGTAGGTATATTAAAATAATATTTAAATATTATAATTAAAATTGATTTGATGTAAAAGTAGGAGATAGATGATTTGAAGTGATGGTTAATAACAATAATTTGAGTGGATGAATATTGAATTAAGGTTGATGTATTGTGTATGGATAATTGATTGATATTATTTAATTATATTGATGATAATGAGGTTGAGTTAAAGTTAAAAAAAGTGGTTGAGTTAAAATATTGGATTTTTTTTTTTTTTTAAATTTCTTGTATGCAAACTGATGGGAGTCGAAACCAACAATAATAAATTCCTAGTCGTCTAAAATATAAAATTGTAGTAGCAATGAGTAGGGTCGTGTCCACAGAGATTGGATGAAATGAGTCGATGCAACTATTTCGTGAAGGAATAATAAATAAATAAAAAGATAGGGGTTCTGAAATGTTCAATCTACCTAAAATAATAAAAATTCAATTCAATTAAAAGACAAGATGAGAGATTCAAAATAAAATTAGAGTAAATCACGGAGATAAAATATCCAACCAAAAGAAAAATTCGTAGAAATGGTTCAATGATTCGATCATAGATGCAAAGATAATTCTCATACTCTCAATTAAACTGGTTATGGTTATTGGTACAACCTAATAACCTATCCTTCCTTACTTGTTCGATAATCAGGATACAATCTCTAATTATTTCTCCAATCAACAGACAGTCCTAGATACGATCATATGATTTAATCTATCAACAGCATAGGATTTAATCTATCAACAACATTAAAACGAGAAGGAATTCTAACCGACAAACACACATGTAGGATCATTTAGAGTAGATCATATATCTCCCTAAACATAAAATCAAAAACCCTTAGTAATCAACTATGTTTTTTGCTACCAACATTAGAACAATCAAACAATTACGTATTTAATGTCCTAAATGGCGATATGCTATTCCGATAATTGAACAAGAGCTCTTTTGCATCAATCAATCAAAATAACAATTGGTAATAAACACAAGAGACATACGAATAAAACAGAATAGGGAATTGAAAACTCAATTAGATCTCACAAATCATGTAGAACCAAATCATGAATAAAAAAAATAATTTAGCTATTCATAAACATGGTAGTCTTCTCCATGATATTCATCATAAAAATAAATAAAGACAGTAGAAATAAAATAAACTGCAGAAGAATTTTTTCTATCGTGCATAGTCCAAGCAGATGCTCAAATCCCAGATAAAAAGAAAAAACGTTGACTGAATAGAAGAGAGAGAAATAGGAGAGAGAAAAATAATACCTAGCAGCCTTATTTTAATTATCAGTCTAATCCTAACCCTAGTCTATAAATAAATAAAAACTCCATATTTTCTAGGGACCGTCTATGGTCAGGTACCCCTCGTACCTACCTAACATCAGGTACCCCTTTATATCACCATTAGATTAACTCATAAATCAATGTCAACCATTAGATTCAAGGTACGAGGTTGGTACGAGATGACCAAAATTCTTTTTGGTTCGTACCAACCTCGTACTAACCTCGTACCGCCTTCTACTTGTAAAAAACCTATAATACCCTTATATCATTAAAAATTAAAATAATGAATAAAATAATAATTATATTTATTTTAAAAACCTTACATTTATATTATTTGTATAACAATCCTTCAAATACACAAAATATATCATTACAACCTTAACATTTAACTTACCAATTAATCTCCCAAAAATCAAAATCAACATCTCCTTCCTCTTAGCCCTCTGTCGGGCCCAATCCCAAACCCCTCCCACACTCGCAGCTCCGCCGCCGGCCTCCGACGATGCGTCGGAGTATTCCTCTCCTATTCCTACGAAGGTGGAAGGATCTTCCCGCCGATTTGGCCCTCAGATCCAGCCCGACAGCCCTACTGGTTCAGTCCTCCTTCACCGTGCACAATAACGACACCCACGAGTTCCTGGTGGGTTTTCGTCAGGTTTCAACACGACGAATATCTGGTATCGGTCACGAATGTCGTGCTTGCAGATGGGAGCTCGACGTCGGGGCCCGTGGGAAACGTGTCAGTCTTTGCGGAGTTCCCGAATCCAGATCTTGAAACGGGTATCGAGACGGCGGGGGATTCGACCCAGATGGCAGGTTGGGTTGAGCTGGTGGATACGCAAATTGAGGTGGTCCCGCTGGATGTGCCTATGCCGGCGAATATCTCTCTGGTCAATGATGGGTGGATTTGTCCCAGACCTAGGATGCAAGGTGAGCTTCTTCTTCATGATTTTGGCTCTTGGGAGTGTATGTAATGTGTTTTAGTTCTCTTATGGTCAGATTATTGAGGATTCGTGAATTTGGAGAGATCGATGGACTAGATTAGTTAGAATGATAAGAGGTCTTAAATTTTTAGGTTTTGAATGATTCTATGAACAATTGGGTGTAACTAAACCTTTGTGCAAGTTTCTGTTTGACCTTTAACTCTCATTTAATTTGAACAGAGATATTGCTTCTGGAGTTTTTGAGAGGTTTGCTTGATGGTGAGAGTTGAATACATTTGACTAAATGCCCAGATGGGTAGTTTTGAAAATAAAGTTGAAAGACTTGAGTAGTTTTTTCTTCTAAGATTTTTGTTCTTTGAAGCTCGTAAAATGTCTTAGAAAGTATTTCCATTTTTTTAGAGCAAACACTTCCTAATTAGATTCCACAACAAAGAACATTGACCCCTCCACATGTTTCCAGTTCCTAATACATGATGAAAAAGAACAAAAACCTAAAGCATATCTATCCAGCTGCTCCATTGCACCAAACAAACCCGAAAGGAGATAAAATCTGCTGAAATCATTTGATATCAAATTTAAATGTAGTTTTTCTTTCACATTGCTGTTATCAGGAAATAGAACAATGCAAGTGTGTTGCACGAGAGATGCTGGTTCACGGCGGTTGAGCTCAACCAGGGGGCCTTGGGCTTTGAGGCTGCCTACTCGTTCAACGCGACCTCGATGGGCCTTGGGGTCGGTGGGGAAAACGACACGATCTTCATACAGAGATTGCCCGCCGTCATGGAAAAGCTTTCCAATGGAGTCACCTCTGAAAAAATTGAACGGATGTGTAGTATCAAAGGGGACCGCAACTTGAGGCATATTATGGAGGTTGACACCAACCCTCCTCCTGCTACAATGATAAGGTTATATTTTTATTTTTTTTTTAAAGAACATTACATTGGTGTGTTGATTCTTCTCATTGTTCATTAATGTCTTTAGTTCTTTTCTTCCTATAATTTCTTTTCTGTATGTAAAGGGGACTCGTGCTCGTTGTAATTTATTGGAGTTATATGAAGCTGCCCGTTGAAGAAGAAATATGTGAAAATGATGTATGTGATGTCGGAGAAGACAATGTGGGTGGTGTTTTATTCGACAAGAGACTTATGATATGATGAACTTCACTTAATTATACCTTCCTTTTATTTCTAGTTTAATATTTTCATTCTGTATGTCTTTCTTGTTTTAATGAAATTTCAAGAACATAATGAGTGGTTGATGAAGTATGGCAGTCCTGTTCAGAATCTCGAAGAAGTACGTAACTGTTCAATCTCTGCTCTCTTTAATCTCTATTGATTTCTAATTTCAGACTTCCAATCTGGGTTGAGGGCATTGGTTAAAACTGGGTATGGTGCACGGGCTATACCACATGTGGATGAATCTGTGGTGGTTGATGCAGCTTGCTATCGGTTGTGATTTATGTTGAGAAACTATGTGAAATTGTGTGGGAATGTGTAATTGATGAGGAACTTGACCGTGACATGAAATAGACTATGTGATGCCGGTTTTGCAGATAATGAAGAAGCATGTCATGTCATGCCTTGCTCTTAGAAACATGAATAGCTCTGTTCAATTTGTCCAGTTTGTCAAATTGTGTAGAGAAGTCGTCGATGAATTGCTGAATGGGTGTACACATGTGGCATTCCCAAATCATGTATTTTTTATGATTGGATATGTAAGGTGTGGTTGAGATTGCTCATTTTGTTTTGCCTCACGCAACATCAACCCAGAAATTGTCACATACAATCAAGTTCACAATATCAACAAACCCAAAGCACAACCAACAATAGTACTCAATCAATCAAATTTCCAAAAGTAATAAGATATATTCAACAACCTCAACAAAATTTCCAGTATTAACAAACTAGACATACAATCAACCATAATCATAGTACTCAATCAACTAAGTATGTATTCATTTTCAACGAAAAGATTTTATTAGAAGATGATGAAAAATTTATTGAAACATGACTTATGAATATAATCAAATAACAAGAACTACAATTATAATATTCTTTCATTTCATAATCAGTCTACCACCTCAAGCTTATGATATTCCTCCCCTGCAATGGCATCCTCCATAACACAGGATCTATAATCCCAAAAAACAACTTCATCAGATTCTAAGAGAACCTGCTCACGAGCGCCACCCCTAACTGGTTGGCCGACACCTGCGTGGCACGTGAGTCCCTCAAGTTCCAAAACACAATCTCCGATATACAATCCCATACTCCTTCTCACCAAACTTCCTCACAATCGTCTGGTAATGAGTTTCATACTCCCATGGATTCATAGAGGCTCGTCAAATTCCATGTCACTGAAAAATGAACAATCTCTTGATCATCGGAACCGGGTTCAATTTCCCATCCACCGCCACATGAAGTAGCAAGTCAAACACCTTCTTCCCGCTGCAATCCATACACCTCACAAACTTTGTCTTCTCCTTCAGTTAGAACCCTCGACAGTCTGAAGCTCGGGACTTTCGCTGAATATATTAACTTTTCCTTAAAAAATACCATACCACAATTGAAAAAGCTTCGACCTGTCCCAAGAGAGGGATGCCCGGGTGGGTAGACAGAACGATACACTGCCTTTCATTTCGCCGCGAGGGACAGTCATCGCCTAAAGCTATTGATTTGATAGCGGGTTAGAAAAGGCCAAGGCTCCTCACTCAATTCAGACACCAAAAGTCCTAGAGCCACCGATACCTCCATTGGAATCCAGGTCATACTATCTAACACATCACAGATTGTCAAGCAATTATTCAGCTTCCCAATCTTCGCCATGTCATCCACCATCCTCCTTCACTGAACCTCCTCCAATGAACTCGTGCATTTGTAGAAGGAAATAATATTAGAAGAATAAAAGTAAAATAATCAGTAAATTCTATAGGATGTGTTAGAAAGGGTAATAACTATCTACTACGATTTTTCAAGGTCTTAACCAATTACCTTATAAATATTTCAGCCAAAACAACTTCAACAATTTACTACACTTACATGTCTCCGACCACGAGTTTCCAAATTTTTCGGGCTGACCATGAATTGAGCACAGAGACGATTAAGATATTTCGTGCCGAAGGTAATCTCCGACCGTGGATTGTGATAATTTTTGGCTTCTTTTCAATTTTTCTGATGGGTCCCCGCAAGACGGGGGCGGGGGAATGAAAATGGCGTTGGGGGCNTTAGTACAACTAATGTCTGTAGCGTAACCTATCTATATGTTTCCAAGATTACCAAGTGTTATTATTTAAATTAGATACATGACTATTTTATTTACTTATTTTCATTTATAAAACAATATATAGTACAAATTACATTTTTTTTTTTCAAAACTTGAATAGGTTTGTAATGTACATAGGTATTTTTATGGTGAAAATTGTAATTCTGAATTGTACCTCACCATCAAATATTAATTTTATTAATAGGTCAAAATGTTGCATTTCCATAATATGCCAATATTAGTGCTTTTAGTAATTTTATTTTTTCAAATACATTAATAATAAAATTTACTTATCAAAATCTATATTTTTTCATCTCGTGAGTAAATCGTCAAAATTTGTTCAAATATAATTTTTAGAATCTACTAACCAAATTAGTTTTTTAATATTTTTTGGTTAACAATAAAACTGGAATTAATAAAATATTTTAACTATTGATATTAGATCATTTCAAATCTTATGCATTTACTCATTTGATCGGTCAAAATGTTAAATTTTCATAATCTACCAATATTATAGTGTTTTTAGCATATTTTTTTGTCAAATAAAAATATATCATAAAGCAATTGTAATTTATAATATAACATAAAATAGTTAGAGATACTATAAGTACATTATATTGTACATAAGGGTGTACATAACACTCACATTAAGTGGGACCGACCAAAAATAAAAAATTAAGTGGACCCCACTCCATGTGATTATTATGTACATCTTTCATTTATTATGTATTTATAGCATTTTTCAAATAATTATTATGTTTCATGGAAAGCTAAAGTCTGAAAATAGTATAAATTTTTTTAAGCTCTTATTCTATATTTAAATATTAAAATATAATGTTTTTTTTTTTTTAAACCATGTATGATGCATTGACCATGTCTGTCTGTCTGATGCACAACAGGAGATGAGAAGTTCAAGCGATTTCCTTCCAAGAATCATTATTGAATGAGTCGATATCTGCTCGGAAGTAGACCTTCAAAGAATCATTCTTCAGCCACATTTGAGAGCATTCTCGGTGGTGTTCCATATCTACACATTTGAGAGCTTTATGTTTTCTTATTAGTAATTGCGCTTATATTTGTATCATTATCCTACTGATGTAAAGTACCCATCCTAACGGCCATCGACCAAAGTAAAGGACTCGACAAACCCGACAGATCATCGAGGTCCACGTAGCTCACTCACGTTCTTGCCCTCAGCCTCTTGCCAGTCTTCCACCATTTGGTCGAGCTGTGCAGTGGCCCGCGAGGTTGGCCAAGATGGACACGCTTTCGCGGGCTTCGTCCTTGACATCCAGGGGTGTGTCAATGGATCCCCACAGCTTGTCCACACTCGATTTCACTTGCCATAAGTAGGGACCAGATACTGGCTTTCCTCGAGCCCGAGGGCCATCATGCCAGTTAGCAGCTCCATTATGACAACCCCGAAGCTGAACACGTCCACTTTTGTTGGGATTTTGCCCATAACTTGAAATAGGAAGCAACATGATTAGATAATGCATTTCTTTACGAATCATTTAGGACACACTCACATTAAAAAAGAAAATGTAACAAGACAAGTATAAAGATCAAAGAAAGGCATGCAGATAAATTTTCAGAGACGAGTCGACAAAGAGCAAATGTCTAAGCAATTTATGGTAATAGTTATAAAGTAAGATGTTCCAAATCATTTCAAGAGAACAAGAAAAAAGCTTCAAGTTTTCTTTCAGATGGAACATCTCTGTTCAGATTATAGGAAGGGTTACATAGTTGGATTCTTGTGCATTTTGCATAAGATGTTAGTCGCACAATTCATAAATTAAACAACTCATTCTTACTAATTGAATCAGTTATGCATGCTCTAACAGGTAAGAAAATTGGTGCAACTTAACAGAAGTTAGAAGACCTGAACATGTGTCCAGGCTTGCCGAAATAATCTCTTTTATTGATTTTCTGATTCACAATACCAATTTAAAAAGGACTCGCAAAATCAACCACATATTACCAGTATATTCAGACGCGGGATACCCAAAAGTCCCTGCCAGACGAGTTACCACCGACCTCTCCCCATCAGACAGGGTCCCGGACCTCCCGATTCTCCATGTGAACAACTACAGCCACGGATCCATCAAACTCAGCAAGACACAAATTCGACGATGGATTAATATGAAAACGGCTAGGAGACAGAGGGATTTTAGCCCTCGGGAATTCTTCATTCACATAGTCGAAGGAAATGATACAGGAATGAGTACGACAAGGATCAGAGGCAACCCAATAATGAAAGCCATTTATGTAAACATAAAATCTTTCACCCCGTGGGGCAGTAGGAGATTGGATATGGAATACTTTCCAAGAATTAGATTTGAGAGAGTACAGCTCTGGCAGCATAATTGCTGAGAATTCTGATCATCTTGTTGTCCTTGGATGAGGGATCAAAACCCAAAACATAATAAATGAAAGCGTTAGTCCCAATCAGCGGCCTGGAGGCGGTGGATCGCGGGAGGCTCCTTACCTCGTCGGTGGTAGAGTTCCACAGAGCAGCGAGCATAATAGAGTAGTTACCGGGATAGAAGTGGGTGCTGCGCTCGGTGTCGGGAAACTGGAGCTGGTCGAAGACGACGTCATACTTCCTTTCGTCGCGATTGAGATTAGGGCGTAGTCGACACTTCCGTCTGCTAAGCGCGTGGCCATGAGGAATTCCTTGTGACGATGTCCCTTCTTCGGATCGGGAAGAGATAGCAGATTTGGGGGTTTTGATATTGAAAAAAAAAAGTTTTGAATCAAATAAATGAAATGCAAATTAGAAAATTCGATCGAATTTTGAAACAATGACCTGGATAATATATGATCGATAAAGAAGCATTCAAAGGATGATCTTCATAGCGAAAGGGAGAAAGATGAAGATGATTGATCGAGTTCAACAAAGAATGTAATTATTTAGAATTTGTGGCCTAATTGGAATATGTAAATGTAATTAGGGTAGAACAATAATATCAGAATAGTTAAACACCGTATTTTATAATTTCTGTTAAGTAAGGGTATTTTAGTATTTACATAACAAAAATCTTAATTATTTTTTTAATTAATTAATAGATATGACACGTGACATTATTTTAAAGGGAGACCTGATATTAGGTAGGTACGAAGTTGGTACAAAGCGAATCTGACGATAGAAGATTCCTATTTTCTATTATTTCTCTTTCCAACTCAAGACTCCTTCATTCTTCCAACTCTGGTAGGAAATTAGCGCGCCCACGCCTTAGCTCAAATTCGTCTCTTTCGCCCTCCAATCATCGTAAAATTCCAAATTATGAGATATCATACATAAATTATAAATTCAATTAAAATCAATAAATAAACTCAAATAAACACCGAAAAAGTATGGAAAACATGACAATTAATATGTCAAGAATATGACTTATCACAAACATGCTCTCAAGGGATGCTTAGATATAAAAATTTTTAGATTTGTTTTGATATTTTGGTTTGATTTGGTTAAATTTGAAAAAGGTGATATGGTTAGTTGTTAGTGGATACATTAAAATAATTTAAAATAAAATAATTAAAGTTGATTTGATGTAAAGGTATGACATAGATAATTTGAAGTGATGGTTAGTTAGAATTATGTGAGTTGATGAACAGTGAATTAAAGTTGATGTGGTGGGTAAGAATGATTGATTGATATTATTTAATTATATTGATCATAGTGAGGTTGAGTTAAAGTTTAGTTAAAAAAAAGTGGTAGAGTTAAAAATGTTTATATTTTTTGAAAATATTTGTATCCAAGCATCCTCTAAACATGCAACCACTTTTAACTAATAGTTTCTTAAACTCAAAATCTAACTCAAATCCAACTCAACCTAATCCTTTCAATATTATCAATATAATTAAATAATATCAATCAATTATCCTCACAATTCACATAATTTTAACTAGTAATCACTTTCAATAATTTATCTCCTATTTTCATATCAAATCATTTTTAATCATCTTATTTTAGATATTATTTTAATACAAATCCAAAACCTCACTCAAATCTAACTCAACCAATTTTTCAAAATGAACTCTAATTAACTAAAATATTCAATCAAAAACTCATTTGATTAATAACCAACCATGGCGAATAGAAGTGAGGCCCCGCGAATGAATTGAGCATGTTTGTATACAAAAAATTTAACTCAAAGTGATTTCTTTTTGTTAACTAGAGTTAATTTAGAAAAAGATGGTATGATTAGTAGTTAGTGGGATTTTTGATTTGTATTAAAATAGTTTTTAAAATAAAATAATTAAATTTGATTAGATGTAAAAGTATGAGAGAGATGATATGAAGTGATAGTTAGTTAAAATTATGTGATTGGATGAATAGTGAATTCAAGTAGATGTGATGTGTAAGAATGATTGAATTGTATTATTTAATTACATTGATAATATTGAGGATATTGGAGTCGAGTTAAAGTTGATTTAGATTTTGAATTGAATGAAATTGTGAGTGAATTTTTTTGTATACAAACATGCTCTATATAACTTCTCGCCCCATAGCCGCTTCAACCTCTAATCTCAAACCATATAAAATAACTATAGAAAAAATACTATGTAATTTATAAAGTAAAAACACAGAATTACAACTGAACAACAACTAGAATTAGGAGGGAGTATTCTATTAGGACTTTTAAGAACTTTTTAAGACTTATTTAAGTGAGTGACTTCGGTGGATTTTGAGAAATTTTTAGTGACTTCGGTGAACATTTTGAGACTTCCATAGCAATATCTCACCAATTCGGTTAACCGATTACTATTATTCAAACCGAACCGAAAACCGAAGTTTTAAGAAAATGTAAACCAAAAATCGAACCAAATATTCGATTTTTGTCAAAACCAAATTTTTGAGTTCGGTCAATTCGGCTCGGTTAACCGAATTTTGTGCACCCCTACACGAAACAAATGAAATAAGAAACTCCCAAGAAGGGGGACCACAACTCCTACGATAGGAGACTAAAACAACTACTAAGCAGAATAAAAACACCACTAACAAGTAAAAACACTGCTAAAAACACAAACACAATACAAAACACTAAATAATATAATACCAACCTCCTCTCAGCCAACGAACAAACCGCGACCCGACTCTCTAAGACACCCGCCCACTCGGATAGGACTCCGGCCCGAATATCGAACTAGAAACTTCAGTGTTACCGAGACTAGCTGAAATCGCACCAGACGGTTATATTATATATATTATTAACAAAAAAAAAGTTATATTATATTAATAAAGTATAATATTTTCTAGATTATAGAATATTATATATTGCGTACACAGTTACACACAACATAAAACCCCCATGTTTGCCGTACAATTTGCTACTCACAATCACAAGCGGTTCTCTTTTTCTTCTCTTTGTTCATCCGCCGAGCACACTGCCATTTCCTGCCGCCGCAATTTATAGACTAAAATCCTTAAAAGAATTACATATTGTGGAAAGGCCTGCATCTTTTGAGGATTTTCCATATAAATGATCCTGGTAGAATGTGTTTTTACGACAAATTCTGAAAAGAAACCCCGATTTTTCTAATTTTTTTTTCGGCCATGCAATCGGGTCCTTCATCTCCAATGGCGACTTCGAACCTGCCCAGAAGGCTTCTCCTTCATGAAAAAGTTGAGGTAATTTTACCTTTGTTATGGGTTGTTGTTGTATTGTAAACATCCTGCACCAAAAAGTTGTCTGTATTTTCTCCTTTACCTTCTTGATTGCTGATAAAAGATTCCCACGTTAATTTGTTTCTATCCTGGGAACTTCTCAAATAGAATGTCTTACCCGTGTGGAAAATTTTGTACAGGTGAGGAGTGTGGAAGAGGGATTTCTGGGTTCATGGCACAGTGGTAGAATAATTGGTTGTGAAGATTTGGCTCGTGTAGTCCAATACGATCACCTTCTTGATGACGGGGGTTCTTCTAATTTGACCGATCGAGTGAAGGTGAGTCCTATAATTGATGGTGTCGCCGTTGATGAAATTTTGGTGTCTGAAAATTACCGGGGCTTGATAAGGCCTTTGCAGCCTTTGTATTCTCTGGGGCAATGGCACCTGCACTATGGACAATGTGTCGACCTTTTGTATGAGGATGCTTGGTGGGAAGGTGTCATAATTGATCATGAAGATGGACGTGAACAAAGAAGGATTTTCTTTCCTGACATGGGTGATGAAATGGTGGCCCAGATAGATATGTTGCGGTTAAGTAAAGATTGGGATGAGGTTACTGGGGAGTGGAAATCTCGTGGGAATTGGTTGTTTCTTGAACTCATAAAAGAAGTTGAGAAGGACTGGCCGCTGCCTGTATCTGTGAAGCAAATTTGGTATGAAGTAAGGATGAAGAATGAATTTCAAAAGCTTATGGAATGGACTTCTTCTGGAAAGTATATTTGGAGAGAACTGGTGTTGCAGGTTTTGTATGACAATTTAAGGATCACTATCGAGCAGCTCTTTGCAGAGTTGAATTCTTCCTGGGATGTGGAGGAGCTAGGGCAACCTTTGCTGGAATTTTCTGAAACAGCTTTGGATGTGGTTCTGAATGCTGGCGGACTTTTGCCTGGTTCGCTCTCCGTTGTACCCCTTGAAGCTACTTTCCAGTATGCTGCTAATGAAGGAACTCTACTTAATGATCTGAAAAGCAGTGAGAAGGTCTCAGAACAGAACGATGAAGCCCTCGTCTCAATCATGACCACCAATGAGATAGCTGAATCCGGACCGAACATTCCTTCGCCAATTCTGTGTCATAATGCAAATGAAGAGTATGTAACTGGTTCTGGTAATAACAATGAAGCTCCTGCTATAAGAAAGAATCTGAAAAGCAGTGAGAAGGTCTCAGATCAGAATGATGAAGCTCTCATCTCAATCATGCCCACCAATGAGCTAACTGTATCCGGCCCGAACATTCCTTCGCCAATTCTGTGTCACAATGCAAATGAAGATTATGTAACTGGTTCTGGTAATAACAATGAAGCTCCTGCTATAAGAAAGAAATCGTCACTCAAAAAAAGACATTCAACACGGAGAAAGACAACTGGCTGGAGGTCATGTGTACCCAAGATGGTACCTGGAGCTGAGTTTTGCCCTGATGCCCTTTATGAGTGTAGGAAGTTGTTTAGATCGAATAGCAGGCCTCAACAGAAGCTAACACTGAATGCTAAAAAACATCTGTTGCATTTGGGTTGGAAAATTGAGTATTTTATAGATAAGCTAATGACTAGATTCCGGTATTATTCTCCTGAGGGGAAAGTATTTGATTCACTGGCTAAGGTTTGTATGAAGTTCGACTGGGTATCTCAGGAGTTGGAGCCTGGATCTTCAGTGATTATGAGCACAAATATTGGCCAGAAAAGTTCTTTGTGTTTATCCGAAGAAATGGATGTACCTCCACTGTCTAAAAAATCCCTTGCTTCCAGTAAACTCATTAAAGAAAATACTCTTGATAGGCCTGTCTTCGAGCCCGATTATTGTCCTGAGGCAGTGAGAGATTACTATTCAATATACCAAAGTAACCGTGGTGTCTCAGATATGAACACCAAGTTGATAGCCCTGAAAGCAAAGAAGCACTTATCTGCGATTGGGTGGTCTTTCTATCACCACATGAAAGGAAGCAAGAAGGAATCACGATACGTCTCACCGAGTGGTGTATTGTATTACTCCCTTATTTCAGTATGCGACTGGTGTATTAAAAATAATGCTCTGTCTTCAAGTGAGCTGTCTCCTACCACAGGGAGAATGGTAAATGTGAATATTCTTCCATTGGTCCCTAAGGAGTCTGTAGGAAAATTTCGTTCAGTCAATGAGAAACCTTTGAATCTGTCAAATGAGTCCTCTGAAATCTCAATGTTAAAAGAACTTGTTCCTTCAGTTGTTGGTGAAGTTTGTAAAACCAGAATTTCGAGGAAGAAGAGAAAACCTGATAAGTCACGTTGCATTAGTGGCTCAGAGTTGTCCAAGAGACGAAGGAAATCTTGTGGATCAATGAATGTAAGTAGCTCCATGAATGCTGATTCTCCAACCAGTGGTCGACGATCAAGTAAAAGAGTTAGGGACAAAATTGCATCTTCTTCTCAACGAACTCCTCGAACTATCTTGTCTTGGTTGATTGACAATAATGTTGTTCTGCCAAGAACAAGCGTTTATTATCATAATAAGAAGAATGGCCCTCCATTAGCTGAAGGCCGAATAGCTCGTGAAGGGATCAGATGTAATTGCTGCGGAGGAATCTTCTCTCTTTGTAAATTTGAAAGTCATGCTGGTAGCATTAATCACAGACCGTCAGCTCATATTTTCTTGGAAGATGGGAGGTCTTTGTTGCAGTGCCAGTTGCAGCTGAAAAAACACAACACAATCAGATTTTGGAGGTCAGAGTCACGAGCAGTGAAGAAACGTGAACACATTAAAACAAACGACTACATATGTTCTGTCTGTCACTATGGAGGCGAATTGGTCTTGTGTGACCAGTGTCCGTCCTCATTCCATACTCAATGCCTTGGTCTAAAGGTGTTAAATTCTGTTTTCGTGTCACTATTAAAAATCACACTATCACTGTTCTTTTTGTCTTTTGACTTCATATTAGTTGGCAATTTTTTCTTTTATAAGTCGTTATAACGAAGAACCCTTTCCTTGTGTTTGTCTTACATTTCTACAGGAGGTTCCTGAAGGTGATTGGTTCTGCCGCTCGTGTTGTTGTCAAATTTGTGGCCAGAACACACTCGATGAAACAAATGGACAAGACAGTTCTGTTCGCATTTGTTGTCAATGTGAGCACAGATGTAAGTAACTATACCTTCGACTCATACAGATATAACTAAGATATATATAATCTTATAGATGCTCTAATTTTCTCATAAATTCTTGTAGATCATGATGAGTGTCTTAGAAAAGAAGGGAGTAAAGATCGCAGTCGTAAAGGGTATTGGTTCTGCAGAGATACATGTGAACAGGTAGCTTAACCAGCTTTGCCATTAATACAACACTCTATAATCAGGCATTTGCTATGAGATAGAGCATGATTTTGATGTCTAGTAGGTTTTGGTATGTTGAGCTTTTGGCATTATCTGGCTGAAGTAAAATGACAAGTTCAGAAGCATTCACGAAAAGTGTATCTTCGGTGAATGAGAAGCACGGTCATGTTCATAAAAGTATATCAGCATCTAATTACCACTTAAAATCATTATGTTAATGTGGCCTTGTGTCCTTTCTCAGGTATTTTGTGGTCTGCACAAGATTCTGGGGAAATCATTTCCTGTCGGGACTGAAAACTTGAATTGGACTTTAGTGAAATGCATAAAATCCGAATCTTATGATCATGATGCATCTGATGATGAGGATTTAGTTGAGGATTACAGTAAGCTTAATATTGCTGTGAGTGTGATGCATGAATGTTTCGAGCCTGTCAAAGAGCCTGGCACTAGGAGGGATCTGGTGGAAGATGTTATTTTCAGCAGATGGTGAGATTTTGAGCACGAAAATATGACCTTCATGTTATTTTGCAGTGTATCATTTAAGAGCGTCAATGTAGTTTGTACCATGTACCTTGTTGAAATATTCTGTCTTCCGTTTTTTTTTCCATCAGGGTGTGGTGGTTTTATTATTAATTTTCTATTCCTGGTCTCTATATTCATTTTATAAATTGTATCTAGTGACTTTAGTTTCACAGATGTGGTAGTTCTTTGGCATAATCAATGTTGGCCGTATATTTCCTTCATATAGGAAATTCTTCTTGTTATTTGCTTAATCGATGATTTCGATTGGAATTTTATAAAAGAAAGGTTAAATTTTTGGAGGCTAGGTGGATCATGAACCCTGTAAAAGCCTACTTTACATATTGGTTTCTCTTGTATATATACTACGATGTAGATAGATTTCATATGTCCTCTCATTACTCAAGATTGGCTAACATCATGCAGTTTCTCTTTAGCTTTCTCTGCATTTCACCTTTTAAAGATAATTCATTTTTCATCAATATAATAATGTGCATTATCAACAACTATTTTGTGAAGATAGGCTGCTGTTGACTTGACTGGAGTCGGGTTTTGGTTCATCAAATTGAGCTGGAAATGTCGAGACGTAGTTGTATTGTGCAGTTTAGTTTCGGTCATTCATAGTTTATATTCTGAATTTCTTGTCTCCCTATTTGTTATGATAATAATTAATAATTTAATTTTCAGGTCAGAGCTCAAGCGTTTGAACTTTCAAGGGTTTTATACAGTACTACTGGAGAAGAATGATGAAATGATTTCTGCAGCTACAGTGAGGTCTTTCTTATATGCTTTCATATTCTTCTTTTACATTTGATATATTCTGTTCTATTCGATCGACATTGAAGCCAAATATCCTACTTACTGCAGAATATACGGCAAAACAGTGGCAGAAGTCCCTTTGGTTGCCACACGCTTTAAATATCGACGACTTGGGATGTGTCGGATTTTGATGGAAGAACTTGAGAAGGTGTGCACATGTCATACGATGTAGATGCTTTGAATTTCTTTCCTATTTTCTACCCTTTATTTTGTTCACGTTCTTACCTGAAGCATGCAAGACCCGCCGACTGAAATGTTAATGGGCTTGGCCCTTGCTAATCTGTAAATGACACATTATAGTGGAAATGAAGCTTTAAGCAGATTAAGAAATCTGCCAGGAAAGTTTGTATGGAGGAATTTTCTAGGGTAAATTGCTCCACTTCTGGTTCTATTGCCATCCTTTACTTGGTTTCTGACGGTATAGTTGCTAGTTTCAATGACTGACATTTTGATCAGTACTTTATTCTACTGATGGGGCCTTTTTTTTTTAAACTGTCGATGCATAAAATTATTTGATTTGTGATAATGGCATTTTGATCGATTTCTTGCTTTCTTCATATTAGGCTTGTCTACACTTTTGTAGAATTTGTGCTATTCACTAATGACTTTACCAATTTGGTTTGTAGAAACTCATTGAATTAGGAGTGGAAAGGTTTGTTTTGCCAGCCGTGCCTTCTGTATTAAACACTTGGACCATGGGATTTGGGTTCTCTGTGATGAATGAATCAGAAAGATTAAAGCTTCTGGACTACACCTTCTTAGACTTCCAGGGGACAATATTTTGCCATAAAGTTCTGACAAGCAATCCTTCCCCAGTAGCATCAAGCCTACTTACTGGTATGTTACTTCTGCAACTTATTAACTAGAGTCGTGAGTTAAGTGAAAGAGAAAAAGGAAAGGAAAAGGCTACAATTTACAACGTCTATTCTCATTCATTTTCGTAGGAACACAGGCAGAAAGTTGTGACCATGTGAACAAAAATGTCAACGTTGAGTTAAATGGAAACAGTACAGTTTCTGAAGATTTTCACGGGGAAGTAGTAGAAGAGACCGATATTATGGTGCGAGGATCTACAGGGTAAAATTCACTTTGCCCTAACTTTATGTTTCAAAATTAGGTCAACAAAAATATAAAGATGAAAAAGAGAATGCCGTTGAATGAATTCTTGAGTGGCAACTGAATACATAATAATAACTAACGATTTTGCATTATGATAAAAATGAAAATTAGGTATTATGTGGTAACTGGTGATGTGCATTGACTCATGTTTGATAAAGAACAAGAATTAGCCATTGAGGGACATCATACATTTTCCACAGAAGCTGTGAATGGAGTACGAATGGAAGGGTATTGTAAATATGACATAGATTAGGCCATATCAGTTTTGAGGACTATTATGATCCCACTTATGTATTCTTTTCCTTAGCTAGCTTGCTCTTAGACATCTATTCAGAAAACCAATGCCTATTTTTTTTTTTTTTTTCTTTCCTTAGAGTTGCAGCAGTTTCAGACAGAGAGAATGGCAATTGCTCGGATCATTTAGCCATTGTGGTACACTCTTGCTCAAACCTTTCACCAAAACCGCTTTCTGTCTATTTACCCGCACATTTTTTAGGTGGTGAATTAATTTTGCGTACACAGGTGGATCAATCAGAACCCTCTAACTGCTCGCCTTTGAACCTCAAGATCGTGTTAGAGTTCCCTTCAGGAGTGACTGCTAACAAACCAGATGAAAACAAAACCGAGGGAGTTATTAAGTGCTACAAGCGAAGGAAATATTTATCATGCTGAGATTTTGTTGGTGATGTGTAACAAAACCCTGAATTTTTCCTCTCTACAAGTCTGACCTAATCCTTGTAAAGCACACGCAATTTTGGTGCATAGCTGAGTAGTAGTTGAAAGCTATGCATGAATTTTACGAGCAGATGACTAGATATCCACGATACAATCGATTTCTGCTCGTTTATATTCGCAGTAGGTAACATTATTGGTGAAAGTCCTCTTTTTGGCCAAGCTTGTTCTTCCCGAGCATCATGTGAAGGTCCATTGTGAGTCTTTCGACTATAACCTTTCCTGATTTTTTTTTTAGTGTACTTCCTACTTTTGTTTGCTTACTGTTGGGAAATGATTATGAATTCACCATGAAAGTCCAAAATGGACAACTCAAGTTCAATTTGGTTTTCTTGCTTTTTTATGTGAAATGTGTAATCATTAATAATTATTATTATCACAATTGACAGTGACTCTAGGATAGCTTTTGAACCATCCACAAGTGATGTGTGATGAATGGTAATGGTGATGAAAAGCATTTGCAATCACAATAGTGTGTTTGCATCTCAACATAGGATTTAGTATAAGGTGTAGGGACGTACACGCCGCCACATATACGCGCACCATTCATTTGAAAGGGCTTTACTTCTCTCTCTATTCTCAACTTTAGAATATGATTTTTGCAAGACGGTAGTTGCGATGCAAATCTATACTTTTTTAATATATATGCTAAGATATCATAATATAAAAATCAACATAAAAGAATGACAATAAGTAATGTAAGTATGTACTTTTATTAAAATATACGACTGATTGTTTAATTACTTGCCTCACATAAGAAATTTGTTAATACATTAGGTTGGCGTGAGTGATGTATTGACAATATGATTAATAGCTTAATAAAACATTAGACTGAATGTATATATTATGTTTTTAAGAAATAACGTAAAATAACTATCCAACTTGATTTTCAAGTAAAAATAAATGTTTTTAGCAACATGTGACTGGCCCAAAATATATGATATCTTATTATAAAAGTATAACATGAACCCAAAATATACAACATTTGATAGTAATAATAAATATGTTATACTCAACGTGTGACTGAACTGAACCCTATAAGGCTATAACAAATTTTCATCGATAATTCAGTTTAACCTCAATTTAATTGTAATATGAAATGTTTTTGGTAAATGAATCAAATAAGTCATAGAGAAATGCATGTGTATTTCATTCCGGGCGTTGATTATCTTTGGAGGCCATATCTGAACTGAAAATCGCCTCCTTGTCAGATCTGCTAAACGGCTCGAGTTTGGTCGCAGGTTTTGTTGCTTTCTTGGGCTTTTGTGCTCTAGAGTTTGGCTCGTGCGCTGGTTTGAGTGGCTTTTGCCTGTTAGGTTTAGGAGATGTCTTATTTTAGTTGTTTTTTTAGGTGTGCGTTGTTTTTTTGTAACTCTGTCTTTTTTTTTAGTACAGATTTGTCTTGTTTTCAATCTCCTTCATGGAGTTATTGTGTCTCCTTTATGAAACTTTTGTTTTGCGGGTATTTGTACTTGGTCATCTGTGTAATTCCAAGAGGGGTTGTTGGTCTAGCTTTGTTCTGGTTCTAGTGGTGTCATTTGACACCAGGTGTACTCTTTTGTGTTTTCAGTTATTAATATAATTATCGTTTGATAGGAAAAAAAAAGTCATAGATAAAGAAGAACGACTAGAGAGTAAAATATGACTGTTGTAATATGAAATGTTTTTGGGAAATGGAACAAATAAGTCATAGAGAGAAAAGAAATGACCTTGATTTGAAGCACACGAGAGGTCTTCTTTCTACCTAATGCAAGGAAACTCGTTGTCCGGTAATGGCCGGTGTTTGAGAAAGAAAAAAAAAAATCATACCATTGAAGGGAGACTTAATTTTTTTTTCTCTCTCTCTCTTCATTGTCTTTAGGTAGAAGAAAAAGAAAAATTTGAAGTACCATCCCACCTTAAGGCTGGCGGAGCTTGCTCCTCCCTTTTCAACTACTGGTGAAGGTCGGATTGTCGATCTTCCTTTTCTATATGGATTCTCCCTCGTTGGCAGATCTGGACTTGATTTTAGACGATATTTTCGCCTCATCGCCTGATCTGTTGTTCAGTCGTTCCTTTGAAGAACTGGAGTTCTTAAAGTTGAGACCGTTGGATCTGCATATCGCGTTTAGTGTAGGGTTGAGGGCTTCTATGTGTTGGCTTGTGCTCTAAGATCGATGGCATTTTGTAGGCGGTTGTCGGGTATTTGGGCTACTAGGGAGGCGGTAACACTGACTCTGCTTAAAGTGGGAGAGGTCTTATTATATTTTGTTATTTATATTTTTCGATTATATAGTATGTCTCATGGTGTTGAGTAGTTCAGTCTCCCATTTGTGGAGTATTTTGGCTCCTTGTTTGGGAGATTTTTATAGGGTTTGTTCCCTGCTCTTATGTTAATGACTCCCCCAACTCGTTTCTTTCTTTCGAGAATGATCCTTTGTAACCATTTAATTACTGTTTATACTCTAATTCAATTCAATCTCATAATTTCCGTTTCGAT